AGCGATAGACCCAAATCGACCACATCGCTATTCGCTGCCGACGGAAGGGGCCAATTCAAGACAGCCGCACTCACTGATCAACACCAGTGGGTATGGCCTACGGTGTTTTACGAGTCGAATTTTTCTTAAGCTTGGTCAAACACCACAATAAAGCCATCGGCAACGGATACATAAGGTACAATGCCAGCGATATTTACTGGCCAATACGCATAAAGGAATAACTGTATGAGTAATGAAACACTGAATAATAATCACAAGTATGCAATAGCGGGATACAAAGACTCAGAACAAACAAAAATTAATCTCGGTACATGGTTGACTTCCAATGCTTGAGGGAAATGACCTAAGCCCGCTTGAATATCCTAGCATTATCCGCCCGGAAGGTGAACCTCATTTCCGTTATCGATTACCACAATGTGTCATATCATGCATATCAAATCCTAAGGGACATTATCTACTATCATTAGTTTATCGTGAATCATGACTGTCATTTTACCTGTTCAAAATAATTAAGGTGTCCAAAGCGACCGACAGTATAATTGGCTATAAAAATCCTAAAACATGGATGACTTGACACAGTCCAATACAAAATATACGGTTGTTTCATATGAAACTTTCAACCCCGGTTTAACGACATAGATTCTTCCCTTTGCATATTTATGCTGTTTATAGTTTTCATAATTGGGCTATTTCGATCTTCCTTTTTGTAAAGCAAATCGTGTTGGGCGACAGAACCAAATAGATTTCACAGATGTTTCTATTGCGAAGTGAACTACACGAGAGCATCTCTCACATTTCTTTCGAAACGAGCCTAGTATAAAAAGAAAACTCTGTACCTTGAATTGTATTATCGATTCGGGCGGTGCCCTGTATAGAAACCCACCGTCAGCAATCTTAACCACTCGTTGCTGAATCGCACAGCAGGTGGACTTGCCCCGATGGAAAGGTTTCCCCTACATCAGCTGTATAAAGACCAAACTAATGCACACTCATCTTAAGGCTTTAATTGACAACTGTTACGCTACCTCTACGGATTTATATCACAAACAAGCTGATTTTGCCTATTTTGGATTTGAACATTTAGACTGAAAAGAATGGACTTACAGATTCGTCTCCCATTTGTCCAACCTTATGAATCTTTCCTTTTATTGCACATTGTTCATTGCCAGTCGCAAGAGTCTCCTGTCTTCTCTTGATTGGGCCTCTTTTTTTCTCAGTCACCAAAGTCCTATCCGTGGACTGAACTAACTCGGCGAACACGCTTCCGTAGCTCGGCTTTCCCGGAAGTAAAGAAGGTTGAAGATGTTTCACTCGTTGCGCATAGCGCAGTGTGTTCATGCTGTGCTCATAATAGGACAAACATGGCGAGACGGTCGCTATCATGCATGTTTTCGATCGGTTTCCGATAAACGATTCTCTGAGAACCTGATAAGGTTTGACACAAAACAAATGTGGAAGCCATATATCAGGGATATGCACTGAACGTATCCAGCACAACTGCATGTTTAACTCTTTTGTTTGTTGAAAAGTATTAGCCCACCCTTGTGGTAATTGTCCGGAAGGTATTCCACCAAATATTTAAAGGGGAGGACATAAACTGCCTCATTTTCAGAGATGCCGACTTCCATGATATTCAAACGTCTCTTAACAATCATTTCTATTATGCTGATCGAGTAGATGAAGAAACGTACGCAACAAATATTTTAAATAAGTCATTTTCAGAGGTGACGTTCAATCAGTTATGGTTATCGAATAAAACACCGAAGGTGGTTTGTTGGAATTTACAATCCGCTGCCCTTTGTCCCCACTTCCAACATCCCCCGATGCTGCCTTCATTTGACCACAACCCCCTTTGTTGAAAATTTTCTGTGCAGCTGTATTTTGACTAAATAAACATAAAACCCAAGTCAGTTATTTATTATTTATTTATTTACATCGAGTGCAACCTATGCCAGCTCTATTTTAATTATCTTTGTGAGTCAGCGAAGGATTTTTTGATGCTTTCTTACAGAATCCAACCGTGCATTTCTTTGCCTCAAAATAACNCAAAATAACTTAAATAACAAATAAAAATAAATAAATGTCTTTTCAGTTCCTCCTTTTGTTTACAAATGTACAGTCAATATTCAGAAAGGGGGGCTGCGGTCATAGGAAGATCATCACGACGACACTGCACCTTGATGTGGTGTGATGGCTTGCGCATGTCTGTGACCCAACGAGCTACACAGGATGGCTTTTGTCGAGCTAAAGATCTGCTCATGCCTGGAAGGTCAATGGATAGAGGTCAAACAAAGTCCAGTCTCCTGGTCCTCCAGACATCCCAACCTTTGTTTATCTCTTTGTCTTACGTACCCCACCCTATCCGTTTAACCCCTCTTCCGACCCGCAACATTTCCTCAGACATATATATATATATATATTTCACAATTTTCTGAGGACAGACTGTGTGCCAAGAAAATCATGGTACAATAATCTTGGTAGTCGCCAAAGGTTACTTGACACATAGCACTGGAACTAATTTTCTTGTAAATAAAGAGTGCATTCTAAAGCTTCGTCAACCTCTGGGGTCTTTCAGTGTGAGGACTCTTATGCAGGTGGGTCAACAGGCGTGTCTTCTGCGTAAAATGCAGTCCCTAGATAATGATGTCTAATGCTTATCGGAGACACGAATCCTAGTATTATAAGCTACCTGAGTGCGCCCGGTCCGTCCTCGAAGTATTTCCTTCGCACATCAGGAGACGCTCACTGGGTCAGCGTGATGCAGGAATCGTACTAACCGGAAAAGCTGAAGCCTCTATGATAGATTGGATACCCGTCAATAGTCGTTTATGCGCAATGCGGCTACAGGGTTCAGTCAGTGTTCGGAAGGGTAGCAACACCAAAAGGTGTTTGCTCATCATTTCCGCGTATGTACCCACCAACTGCATTCCCACTTTACAAAAGGACGAATTTTACGGCAAACTGATTCGGTTGAGCCGCAGCTCTAATATCATAGTGCTGACAGGTAATCTTAATGCGCAGGTTGGAAAACTCAGCGCATCCGAAGCCTGTCTAAGAGGGCACTTCGCCCTCTCAACCCAGCGAACAGACAACGGTGATCGACTGCTCCAGTTCTGCGTGGATCACCCGTGGCTCTTATCTAGCAGAAATTTTCGACAGAGCTCTCGTCCAACGGCTACATGGTGTTCTAGTTCAACGGGAAAATTGACCCAAACTGACCTTACAGCTGTAAGCTACCGTTTGCGTGGTTCAGTACAAAATTGCAGATCCTACTGGACCACCTGCGTTGAGTCGGACTATGCACTAGTTCTGTTACGCTTCACTCTTCGACTCATCGGTCATCGGCAGAAATCGCGTCCTCCTCTGTTAGCACATCCTCGTCTGCACGATCCATCTGTCTGCACACGTTATGAGGAGAAGCTGGAACAGGAGCTAGGAGAGCCACGGCATAGTGGAGTAGACCAACAGTGGAATCAGATTAGATTTGCGATGCACTCTGCAGCAAACTTTGCTTGTGGGACTAAGCCCGAAGTTCGCCGAAGGCCTTGGATCTCTCAGGAGTCAGTAATTCTAATGTATCAAAAGCAAAAGATCCCAATCTGCCAGGATCAGCATAGGGATCTGTTTCGCCTGCAACGTCAACTCAAAAATAGCCTTAAAAAAGATCGTGAAAATTAGTGGGCCGAAATAGCTGGTAAAATGAAGGTAGATTCTGCATTAGGGAATAGACAAAGACTATTTCATCCGATACGCAGCACCGGAGGTCATCGCATACCGGTCAGTGAGACCATTTGCGATAAAAGTGGACAGATTATCCACAATAAAGACCAACGACTTGATCGCTGGGCAGAGTATTTGAGTGAACAGTTTAATTGACCCATTGCTTTTGTGGCAATTGTGGCGGAAAATCCATGGGTGGTAACATGCAAGCCCCCATCAGAATCCAAAGACGCATTCAATCACTAAAGAACGGGAAGGCTGCGGGACCTGATGGGCTTCTCCCTATTTTTTTCAAAGTGGGCGGTAATTCACTTGCCGACACAATTACTAGTTTACTTCGCAGCATTTGGTCGGAGGAGCATATCCGTTTGTCTTAGGGTGAATCGTTGATCGTTCCGATCTTCAAGAAGGGATCACGCAACGACCGCGCTAACCACCTTGGGAATTCAGATCGAATTCAGATTAGCCGGCTTCGCTGGTTAGGACACATTGCGCATGTCCAGTCATCGTCTGCCGCACCGCGCCCTATTCGCACTTGTGGCTCCAGGTTGGAATAAATCGCGTGGAGGTCAACAGATGACGTGGAAGCGAGGCATGAAGAAATGCACAGAGCCCTTAGGTAGAATCGATGTCTCCCGTCTGCCAGGTTGGGGTCCGAAAGACTCTGCAACTGGCTGTTTGGAGACCTTGAAGGATATGGCGACTAACCGACAGCAGTGGCGTTATTGTTGTCATTTCTTAGCAGGTCAGAATGCTTGCAAAGATATGTATGCACACTTAGGTTGTGTACTCGGTGCGTCGACCATAGAGGTTCTTTTCCTTTTCCTTCCTCCAATAGTTTGGAAACATTTGGGTTTGGTTCTGCCCTTCGAGAGATTCGGCACCAAAATAGGATAATAATCTCTTTCGCTCTAATGCTCAAACTTGTAGCTTATCTTGTGAATCGAACTTGACCATTGTAAATCTCAAACCATTTATAGTTCTGTTTTGTTGAATTTGCTATTCGTAAAGTCGAAAAGTTATTATAGTTTACCATATTAATTTACAAACAACACCTAGCTAGCTCATCGGTGAATTCAGTTCTAAGCAACTTGAAATTCTGGTAGTATTTTGTTTACAAAATATATTTCATCATTTATTCGGATACAGATAAACTAATCATGAGCTTTTGATAGAGTGAGAATCGATAAATGACGCCTCCCGAAATCGTGAAAGCAATAATTTCAAAACCTACAAAGTACGATCTGTCAAAGGTTTATTAATTTCGACCATATTTACAGTCATACCTGAGTCAGTTTGCTGGTACGGAACGGTAAATAACTTGTCGAATTGTTTCCCATTGCTCTGATACATTCCTTGAGAGCCAGAAGGCTTTTGTTGATCTCACCGCTTTCCATGTGTCGAACACGATCGCACGTGATAGCCCCGTCTGCGCTTCGCTCGTTCCCGGCCAGATCGACCAGGGAGAATCTGCCGATCAGTGGACCTGAAAGTCGAGGTTTCGCTTGTGGTTTCCCGACAATTCGTTTCGATTTTTCATCCACGGTGGTCATTTGCACCGTTGACGAACCCAGTGAATCACCATTTTCATTAACCCGTTGACGAATGTTGATCTGATTGAGTGTTTTAGATACAAAATTGGCACAATAAGACTATTAGATACATGTGTACTATTTCACACGCGCATATATAACGCGCACATATAACACCACTTTTCACAGATACGGCGCCCAAATGGGTCCAAAGCAGAATATAGGAAAAAGGGGAAAACAGTCACATTTGGGAACAA